TCTTCACATCAAATTGGTTTATATCCCAATTGTAATGGCTAGCAAGGGATAACAAAACTCTCACTGTATTCATCTTTGCAACTGGAGCAAATGTTTCTTCATAATCAATGCCATAGGTTTGAGAGTAACCTTTGGCAACTAATCGAGCTTTGTATCTCTCAAGAGTTCCATCAGAATTATATTTCAGGGCATAAACCCATCTGCACCCTACTGCTTTCTTTCCAGTAGGTCTATCAATAACTTCCTATGTTTTATTTTTCTCCAATGCATTCATCTCCTCTTGCATGGCTTGAGCCCAATTCCCATCTTTCAAGGCTTCATGTACTGATTTTGGGATTGCTATAGAGTCTAGTGCTGAAACAAAGCTTTTGTGCTGCACAGACAGATTAGCAGAGGAAACAAAATAGGAGATAGGGTATTGAGTACAAGAGGAACAAGATTTCTTGGGACATGATCTTTTTCCTTTTCTAAGAACAATGGGTAAATCATCAGAATCAATAGTAATGGGTAAGTCATCAGAAGTATCATGATCAGAAATATGAGATTCAGGACTTACCAGTGGTTCAGACGATTGAGGTTGCTGCTGAGGCAATGTGGACTGTGTATCAGTCATAGGAGGATCAGTCACAGGAGGATCAGACATAGACACATTGGGAACAGGAACAAGAGGAAGAGACATTGACTCAGGTGAAGGAGTAGACACTGAAGATTCAAATCCAAAGAAGGAAGGTGATGAGTCTTCTAATGAATTATTCTCCCCCTGAAGATGAGGACCTTGGAAAAAGAACTCAGATTCCTGAAATGTAACATCCATAGAAACAAAAAATTTCCGACTACCAGGGTGATAACACTTGTAGCCCTTCTAATCAGGAGCATATCCAAGGAAGACACATTTAAGAGCCGTAGGATCCAACTTACTGCGATGCTGTTTATGAATATGAACAAAGACAACACACCCAAACACTCGAGGAGGAAGACTTTGCAAAGTTGGAACAGAAGGAAAAAAAGAAGTCATGGAGTGAATAGGACTTACATGATCGAGAACCCGAGTGGGTAGACGGTTGATCAAGAACGCTGCAGTAAGAATGGCATCTCCCCAATAGCATTTGGGTACATGTGTTTGAAACAGTAAGGCACGAGCAACTTCAAGAATGTGACGATTTTTTCTTTCAGCAACCCCATTTTGTTGAGGGGTGTCTACACAAGTAAGTTCATGAATCATACCTTGATTTCGTATAAATTGGGAAAAACTATGATTAACATATTCAGTACCATTATCTGTTGTTAGTCTCTTGATTTTTCTACCAAATTGGGTCTCAACCATTTTATAAAATTGAAAGAACAGATGTGGTACCTCAGACTTTTCATGCATTAAGTAAACCCAAGTTACACGAGTGCAATCATCAATAAAAGAAACAAACCATCTATTTCCAGAAGCATGAGGGACTTTAGAAGGACCCCAAACATCAGAATAAATAAGATCAAAAGGTTCAACACTCTTAGTACTACTAGAAGGAAAAGACACACGATGATGCTTAGCAAACTCACAAACATCACAATGAAAAGACTCAACAGGCTTAGATAAAAACAATGACGGAAATAAAGACTTGAGTAAACCAAATGGAGGATGTCCCAAGCGCTTATGATGAAGCCAAATCAAAGAATCAGCAGTTGATTGACCATGAGACATCAAGATGCGATCTGTTACTTTATTTGCGGGAGATTCTAACACCATATAGTACAGCCCACCTTGCTCTTTAGCACTACCAATCGTCTTCCCCGTGGCGAGATCCTGAAAAACACAATGGGTAGGGAAGAAGGTTACAGTACAATTCAGATCTTTTGTAATTTTATGAATAGAAAGAAGATTCATGGAGAGTTTAGGAACATGAAGAGCATCTTTAAGATGTAAGGACTGCTGTAAGTTTATGTCACCAGAACCCGCAACTGATGTATGTGAGCCATCAGCTATGGCTATAGTATGAGTTCCAATGGTAGGATGATAAGAAGCAAAGGAGTCAGCACAACAAGCCATATGATCAGTAGCACCAGAATCAACAACCCAGGAATGTTTAAAATCATTACATGAAGAAAGGAAAGAATGAGTTTTGGGGCTCATACCAGTCAAAGCCAAAGCACTAGTATCAGATGGCTTACTCAAATAATCAAGGATGGTTCGGAGCCGTTCTAACTCATCTAGACGAAATGCAAGTTGGGTCTCATTAGGTGCAGGAGTTATTCCAAAGGAAGTAAAATGCGCTTGACCACGCATCCTTACCATCTTTTCTAAGACAGTTTGCTTTCCATGGAGGCGAAAGCATAGATCCTTGATATGACCTGTTCTTTTACAATAAGAACACCATCGATCATCTCTCTTAGGTTTAGAAGATGCACCATCATAAAACTTTGTAAAGGAACTCCTTTGAGAAGATGCTATACTGCACAAAAAACGGTCAACGAAAAAGGCTCTAAGAAGCCAAAAAATTCGGAAAAAATACCAAACGATGTCTGATCTGAGAAAACAACACAAATCCAGAAAGAGAACAAGGAGAAGAGAAGAATGGTGGTGGTCCGGTCCAGAAACACCGGGAGAAAGCAGCTGCGCGTGGGCTTCACTCGTGGACAAAGAGGCGGCGCGTGAGAGCGCATGGCAAGGCTTCTCCGGCTGAAATTTTTCCGGTGTGGTCGTCCGATGAGCGCGCACCTGTCTGTGGGTGGTTGCGGTTGAAAAGTCACCGGAAAGGGTTCTAAACGGTGAAGACAGAACTGGTTGAAGGCGGTCGGAGGTGTTTGGGTCGTTTGTGGCGGAGGAACGTTGCGTAGAATGATAGAACGAAAAAAAAAGAAGGTCAACAGTGGTCCCCTTGGTCCAAAAGGTCCCCAGAAATTTTTTTCCGGTGGCGGCAAGAGGCAAAGAAATTAGGGTTTTGTAAAAAAAAAGACAATAGGCGCGGAAGCAGAGCCCTCAGGATCGAGAGCTCTGATACCAACTTGAAAAAGGGTTATGAAATATTATTGATTTGTATTTGAATCTGTACATAGGGGTCTCTATTTATAGAGACTTCTTGACCTAATTTTGACCTAATGGGCTTGGCCTAATATACAAGTAACAGACTAAATAAATACAAATAAATGACTACATAATTACTAATAAATGACTACATAATTATTATTTACAACATATAACCTGCCTCATCTCTTTTATATGAAACATGTCAAATTTGTTCAAATGCAAGAGCTCCATGGAGAGTCAACACCCACGACCAAGAGTACGCTCCCAATCAACAAAACTTTTGCAGATCTTTGAATGGACACTTATACATAAGAAAGTGGGGTTGTCAGTAGCGGTGGTAAACGAACCATGGGCCTTTGGCTCGACTCGTGAAGGTCTGAGCTTATATGTCTAAAATTGGTTGTTGGAACCAAGCTTGGACTTTTATAAAAACTAGTTTAATAAAAAGACTCCAGACTACAATTCAAAAGCTCGGCCTTAGAACCTCTCAGTCTGACCTAGTATATTAATTTTTATTTTTATTTTACACATTTTTTATACTACTTGTAATAGCTCTCTCTCTCTCTCTCTTCAATCCATTTCACTCATTTTATTGTTTAAGTAGACTTTTTGAATGATTTTGTTCTATATTATGCTGTTTGGATATACATTGAATTTATGAATATTTATCAAATTACCAGTGGTGTTTATTGTATATTCTGTTTGGATAAATTTTTGTTGTCTTATTTTTTTAAGCAGTCTAACAGACTAAAACAGACTTTTATTTTGTGTAAATAAGTCAGACCACATGCCGATAATTATATTCATAACAGGTTACAGGCTAACATATTTAAACACAAGCTTAGCCTTTTAAAACCAAAGCTCGACTCGGCTCGTTAACACCCCTAGTTGTCATCCTGGAAAGATCTTCAGCATGAAATCTTTCGTGTATTTACTTGTGTTGTACTTGTTCCTACTTCAATCATCCAGATTATCTGTATATAATTTATTGAAGAAACATGAAACAATCTCGGATATATTTCCTATATTAACTCAAGATTAAGAGGAAAATGAATTAAGATTCTATAATAATGCTTTATGTGTTTTCACCTCTAGATTTATTAGTGGAACACTATAGTGCTTGGTAATTTAATGTGAGAGACTAATTATTTGGAATACAAGCTAGAAATCCTTTTCTTATATCGCCAAGCTGTGAGGGAATATGACCTTTTGTTCCGGAATGCATTTTTAGAATTGTCACTTTAAGGAGAATTTTACTTAATTAGTATCTTAGTTTGAGGAGTTAGTTTCACAATAATATTTGTAAAGATACATTAGTTTATCAAAACAATATAAATTTCAGTCAATAATAAATAAAATGTTAAAAGAAAAAATTTCAAAGTAGCTAGTATTTTTCAAAACTGCAATCACAAGTGAATCCAGCTAACGTACATACATGCATTAGACAATAACTTTTATCACTATCATGTGTGTCGATTGTGTAGAATTAGGTACAAGACGTTACTTTATATAGTAGCATAGCTCCAACTCAGTGATGCTAATGTGATATTATATGTACGTCATCCCACATAGAAAACTGCCTAGTTCTCACTTTTGTGCCGGCTCAATCATTTCACACTAGGACAATGTTGGCCGTCCTGCCCCCTGAGAATTACAAGAAGAATGTACCTTTTTTTTCAAGGTCATATACAACATTACATGACATGTCCAATGTTATATCAGTTTTATATATACACAAGTCATCACTTGGTTTGCGCTGGCACCTGGAAACATCGAATGTAAGTTAAACTATATATGTAAATCAAAACTCTTAGTATTCTTGGGAGAATATTAACAAGTAGATGCCCTTGTTATTGTCTGCAACTAGGAATTGTTAAGGTGCATTGGAGAAATGTGTCTGTGATTACATCGAGCAGTTTAACCAATTTTCACTAGTCAAATTCCTCAAGCCATAGTTGCAACACTGTTTTCAATCTAAAATTGAACCATGGAGTTTCCCATTTTTGTTCGTAAACATGTTACTTTTTCAGTCCTTGCTATTCTTGGCACTCTTGCTATAGCTCAAGGAGGTCCTATAGATGGTAATCCTGCAGAAAAAGATGCCCTTTTTGGTCTCAAGGCCACTTTCAACGACCCTTTTCTAAATGGGAATTGGACTGGCCTTCACTGCAATGTCAATGGTCCTTCAAGGTGGTTTGGTATTCTGTGTGCCTATGGTCGTGTCAAGGGTATAGTTTTGGAAGGTATGGGGCTGCCGGGAGATGTCAATGTCAATGCTTTCTCTGAACTTGAAGAGTTGTCCATCCTGAGCTTCAAGAACAATTCATTACGGGGAAAAATGATGAATTTCTCCAACAATCATCAAATGAAGTACATTGATTTGTCAGGAAATGTTTTAGTTGGGTCAATATCAAAATCCCTTGTGAGTCTTATCCTCTTGGAGAAGTTGTTTCTGCATGATAATAGGCTCACAGGTTCAATACCAGAGTTTAGTCAATCAAGTTTGGAGATATTTAATGTCTCAAACAATAACCTTGAGGGGCCAATCCCAACAACTCAAACTCTCCAATCATTTGACTCTGCTTCATTCTCAGGAAATCCAAGATTGTGTGGTTCACCTTCTCTTAATTCCTGCAAAACTAGCTCCAATTCTCCTAGTGTACTACCCTTAAATAGCACCCTCGACAACAATGAAGGCCAAAATAAACCTTCAGAAAAAAATAACAATTCCAACATTTTAATAATTTTCAATGTGGTTTTTCTGCTTGCAATTATATTGCTATTGATGCTTTACTTTAACAAAGCCAGAAAGCTCAGTAAAATAGAGAAGGGTCAGATTCCCACAGTGGAAGAAGAAGAGAAAGATGTGGAGAACAGTGTTAGCAAGAAGATAGAGATAGGAGAGGGGACAATGATGAGAGTAGAAGAGAGAAGGCAACTCATATTCTTTAGTAATAAGCCAAAATTTCAAATGGGTGAACTTCTCAGAGCTTCTGCTGAGGCACTGGGTCAAGGAATCATGGGGAATAGTTATAAAGCTATGCTGAATGATGGAACTCCCATTGTTGTAAAGAGGCTAAGGGACTTGAAACCACTCACTAAGGAGGAATTTTCAAAGATATTGCATATGATTGCTGATCTGAAGCACCCAAATTTGTTGCCCTTGCTTGCTTACTACCATTCCAAAGATGAGAAGCTGATGCTCTATAGATATGCACAGAATGGAAATCTTTTCTCCAGACTTCATGGTAATTTACATCAACTTGCCTCTCATCTTTTTTTTTTTTTTTTTTTTTTTTGGTACATTGCCAGGAGGTATCCACATTTAACCTTCTCCGGGCACCATGCCCTCGGGGTACGACCCGTTTGGGCTAGCCCCTCATTGTAACAGTGGGTGCACTAAGCTTCGCAACCGGAGAAAAGACGAGACTAATCCTCCAACCGAAAATTTCTGGCTTATCCTCTAGCCCCCAAAGATTTTCCAAGAAACTGCTTGAGGCAGGGTTTGATCCCTGCACCAAGCAATCCCTTGGGAGCTCAGCTGCCAACTGAGCTACCCTTGGGGTTAACTTGCCTCTCTTTTAATTGTGTACATTACTGAATTTTATAAGAATCATCTGCAAAAAGCAGCAAATAGATAATGAATCTAATAAATCCTTCCCCTAATTCATTTCTTTTGAAAGAGCTAAAAAGCTAATAATCTTCTAGATGATTAAGCACTATCAAATTGGTTCTTGTATAGTAACAAACTGATTTTTACCACACAACTTCATAATAATGAATTTGCAACCAAACTATGCATCACTTTATCAAGTCCCATCAAAACTGGACATTTTCAGATGGTAGAGATGGAAACCGGGTTCCATTCAGTTGGAACTCAAGATTATCAGTTGCAAGAGGAGTGGCTCGAGCATTGGAGTACCTACACCTCAACAACAGGTTCTATAACATTATCCCACATGGCAACTTGAGGCCTTCAAATGTACTCTTTGATGAAAACGATGCGGTTCTTGTTTCTGACTTTGGCCTTGCCTTCTTAGTAGCACAACCAGTTGCAGCTCAGCATATGGTTGTTTACAAATCACCTGAATATGTATTTGCAAAAAAAGTTACAATGCAATCCGATGTTTGGAGCTATGGATCCCTTCTAATAGAACTTCTAACTGGCAAAGTATCTTCATGTTCAGCTCCACCAGGGATCAATGGTGTGGATATTTGTAGTTGGGTTCACAGAGCAGTGAGAGAAGAATGGACTGCTGAAATCTTTGACAAAGAAATTTCTGGTCAAAAGAGTGCTCTTCCTGGGATGCTAAGGTTGCTGCAGATTGCAATGCGTTGCATTGAGAGGTTCCCAGAGAAACGTCCTGAGATGAGAGATGTGGTTAGAGAAGTGGAAAAAATACACGCCCCTTTGACCAATGAAGATGAGGATGATGTATCTGCAGATAGGTCTCTAACAGATGATTCATTTTCAACCAGTACCTCAGGGATTATTGGAGATGAAAGATAGATGATGATGAAAGCTTGGAACTTTCTCACCTAGAACACATTGTTCTGTGTTTATTTGGACATCAAGGTACAATTATCCAAAATGAAGTTGCACATTTTTATGCATTTTATTTCTCTCTCATAATGAAGGCTTAAACCCATTTTTATTTATATCATTTACATTAGAAGAATATAAATATATCGAATTGGGAATCTCTTCCTTGTGAAGTTTAAGTTTCTTCATATTTTAGTATTTACGTGCTTATAATTTTGTTTGGCTGTATTTTTCAAGTTTTCCCATCACCCTCAGCTGGTCCTTTAGTTAATAATTAACGCTGTAATTTTTTATTTTTTTTGTTTAAAGTCAACTAAACATAAATCTTTGGATGAATTACACAGTATAGTATGTAGCTTTACCATTTTTTCAAATAACCTTTGTTTTTGTCACTTAATCCCTCTCAATTTTGGTTTAATTTAAAAATATTAGCTTTTCAGTTAATTTTAATAACAAATTATTATTTTCTTAACTTATTCCCTAAAAATTACTTTTTTAAAAAGAAAAGTAATATGTAAAATAAATAGTTACTTTAGGAGAGTAGGTTGGGAAGTTGTAAAGTGTAAGAAAGTAATATATGAAATAAACAGTAAGGTTAAAGTTATTTGAAAGTTAACATTTTTTCTTAAACTAAAGTTAAAAAAGTCAAGTAAATTTTTTTATAAAAAAAAATGGTATTAAAAGAGTGAAATTAATTTACTATAATGTCAATTTACTCTAATCTTTACATCCAATTTTGTGGTTTACCAAATGAGCCCAAAATTGCTGTTTACAGGAAAAGGTCTTGAAATGTGTAAAAAGGAAAGGAAAACAACTCTCTGCTTATATTTGTTTGCTTTTACTGGGGATGCTCATAATTCCCCTTTGAGAGAGAGTGCCTTTCTTAACTGAGCCCAAAATTGCTGTTAACATGAAAAATTCACATTCAAGGTCAAATTACATGCCACAGAGAAGAGGAAAGGGGAATTAAATTCACAATTTGCTGCGGTAAAAATCTTCCATGTTTTTGGATATCATATGGGTCCACTTTCCTACGTTGAAACGACCAAACATATACGCGGAATGCATGGTTTTATTTTTTATACCCTTTTACCCTTCATTAATTAATTAATAATCATTTTATCTTTTTTACCCTTCATTGATTAATTAATGATCATTTTTATCCTTTATTCAAAACTATCTATCAATCTGCCCATCTTTAATCGATTAACCTGAAGATTTAATCGATTAAATGGTCAAAATTGACAAAAATGGTTGAAGATTTAATCGATTTAATCTTCAAGTTAATCAATTAAATCTTTCAACAGGCAACAAAAGTCAAATCTTCTCCATAAACAAAACCAGATCCCATGCATATGAAGCAAATCAACAAGCATAGATAACCAAAAGCAGATTCCATGCATATGATCCTATTGTCAACCTCGGAACGATGACAACGATCAAGGCGAACAACGAACCCTTCCCGTCTTGCATATTCATCATAAAAATACTTAGCAGAATCTTCAATCAGTTGTTCGTGTATTGGAGGTTATTTGAATTTTGAATTTAATGTAAGAAGAGTTGATTGTGATTTGTATTTAATAGAACAAACTCGTAAAATGGCAACTCCTAATAAAATGCAATCAGCTCCTATTAAATATAAAACACAATCAACTCCTGTTAAATACAAAACGCAATCAGCTCCTATTAAATACAAATCGCAATTAACTCCTATTACATTAAATTCAAAATTCAAATAACCTCCAATACCGTGTTTGTCTCATTCAATCAATGCTTTCACGCTCATTTAGAATATTTAATCGATTAATAGGGATATTTAATCAATTAAATCTTCAAGTCAATCATTTTTGTCAGTTTTGACCATTTAATCGATTAAATCTTCAAGTTAATCGATTAAAGAGGGACAGATAGATAAATAATTTTAAATAAAGGACAAATAATTATTAATTAATTAATGAAAAACAAAAAGATCAAAAAGTCCGGAATGCAATGCAATGAAATTCTCCAATTCATATCATTCAATTGACTCCAACTCCCAACAATGCTTCTTTCTAATACTTTTTTTTTGGGGTATCCTTAATACTTTTATTTTTATTATTAGATTAGATTAACAAAATCAAGCAATTTAATTTGGCAACATATTCCCAAATTTATTTCCCCTGTTTAAATTCATCATGTAGCAGTACAAGTACTACAACAATCATTTTAAAAAATAAATTTAAATTATTTTAATAATTTTATTTAGTCAATTTTGTGAACATATTCTCAGCCTAGTTATGACAAAGTCAATTCAATATTTTTTAATAAAACGTATAAATTTAAATATTATACACAAACTAAATCTTAAAATTTTAAAAACATAAACTAAAAATATGAAATGTTTTGTAATATAATTTTAAAATAAATTATATCAATATAAAATATATTATTTTATGAAAAATATATTAATTTAAGTCAATAAGTTTTATTATTTATCTCTGATTGTCAAAATAATTAAAGCTCTAAAATATTGTATAACAATGGACAGAGAACAACTCAAATTATGGACAAAATCCAACCCAAAATACATTCGTCTAAAATTTTAAACCCAAATCATCTCAATTACCTCGGACTGAATTATCAATATATAACCAATCTCGATCACGAAAATTAATTGTCTGCTCCTTTTCTCTCTCTCTTCTTTTCTCTCTCTTTCTTCTTTCTTTGTCTCTCTTCTCTCTGGATGGCCCACATGAGCCAGGACCACTATATATTTGCTCTTCGATCACCACTCTAGACAATATTTTCTATTTATTAATACTATAAAAAAAAACACATATTTAAAACTCAGGAGTTATACTGAAATATTAATCAATACAAATTTTTGAAATACAATAGTTTACTACAAAAAATGAAACTACCAATTATTGAATATGAATACAAATTCTTGCATTCTTAAAATAATACACATTTATTTATACTGCGTTAAAGCACTTTCTTACTTGGGTTTGCAGTGCGTTGGATCAGTTACACATTTTTATTCAGATCGTCGGGTGGAGAATTTAATGAGGAAAATTGCAGTTGGGTCTTGTGGACAAACATCGAAATAGTAAATACAAAAATAGTGAACTAGTCTATAAGTTAACCAGAACAAGTCAGCAAGGTTTTAAAAGAAGGGGAAAAAGTTTAGGAGGAAGGAACCCACTCCCCAGCCCAACAAACCCTGACAAAAGCTAGAGTAGTACTTACTGATGATCTATAAAAAAGACAGCACGTAATGAAAATACTTCATCACATTTCTCAGAGAAAATACTAATGAATCACTAGACACTAATAATTCCGAAAGCACAGGAAGAATGATATTCCCGTGTTGCATGAATAATTGAGTAAATGAAATAGAACAAGACAAATGAGCATAAAACTAGTCATTAACCAACATTCTATGTGCGGAAGTCATAAATTTTATCCTCCGTAGTTATAATTCATACTATGCCGCAAGAAGAACCAATTGGCAATCAGCAAGAAAAATGGAAAAGGATTTTCATCACGTGAAATCGAGTAATGCTAGTCTCAAATTAATTTGATGACTGACCACGGGCTGGGCAAGATAATTGTGATCTTTCGCACGTAAATAATAGTGAGCGTAGCATACTCTGCATCATTATATATGCTACCTTATGATGATCAGCACAAATGTACATCAGTATTATGGCATCCAACGCAAAAATGAATCACAAATTAACAAAGGTATCCGAGTAGGCCCGAAATAATTATACATAATTATATACGATGAGTTGAAAAGTATAGATTGTAGGCCGAAATGTACCACAGCTGGTTTCACTTTCATTAGGTGTTACCCCCTAAAAGTTTTTTTTTTCCACTCCAGTAAAAGAATCTTCCCGACAGACCTGTTTCTCAGTCTTTACTGGTGGATTGATCACTGATCCATGTATCTGTCAATTAAACCAGAAAATGAGGCTAGGATGAAACAATAGCTTTCTACTACATTGAAACATGTCCAAACTTCATGAAAGCATACCGTGGCACTTGATTTGAAAGGTATAATATCGTTAGGAATCAACATTGAGGGATCTGAGGGCCTGTGAAACAGTAAATGTGCTATAGACCGATCAATGGGGTTTGTGTCGGTCTCTATATCCATGAATCCCGTAGACCTGAATGAAGCTATGTGTTATACTTATCAAAAGGAATAATTCATAAACACCAAATTTTGACATAGATCAAAAAAGGATTGTTTAATGTCAGCATGTAACTTGAAAAATAAAAAAAATAAAAAAAAAGAATACTACATCTTTGGAAACACTACAAATGCCAGATAAGCAGAACACAAAACTAATTACACTCAAAATCATGTTACACCAGCATTCAAATTCTAATGGCTGTTTATAGTGGTTACCTTGTGGCCAAGAGAAATATAAATCTGAAGCGATGAAAGTGAGCAATACCTGCTTTCATCCTGTGTCATCATTGCTTTGCACGCTTCAACATCATCTCCAATGCAATCGTTTGCGTTTGAATTATGTCTTTGCTCAGCACTCTTAGCCAAGCGGTATAGACTGTCCCTTATGCAAAGTTTGGTTCTAATATCCAACTGCAATCAAGCAAATTTTTGGGGTACCAAAGTAAATTATAATCATCGATTTGATGGATTTTCAGCAATGAGTCAATGTAGGTAATAACCCTGGCATCACAACTTGGAATCTTCAGTTTTTTGTTTTCAATAAAAAAACGAAGCTCTATTAGTTTTGTAATATCGACTTTGTCTATTTAATCTGCAACATGCCTACATAGAATAAATTACAAGATGCATAGCATACCCTAATAAATCAGATCCAATGATATAAATCGAACAATTGCAACTAGACTACTACCTCTGAAGTAGAGAATACAACCAGTACTTTCACATTCATCCAATATGGCAAATTGTTAAGACTATAGTTAGAAACACAACTTCATAGCTTTAGTTCTACCACATATTCTTGAATTTCACAGTAAAAAGTATAATTTTGATAATCCTTTCTAGTGTTTCAACTCTCCTAGTCTATTTTTCACTGATTCCTTTCGTTGAATAACTTGTAGAAACAACTCCTGCATCTGTCATTGATATTTTGTTCCATTGTCAAACTTTCCAACCTTCATTGAAAATATAAAAATATTACAGACGCCCGCCCACACACTCCTACAGCAAATATTTTCAGAAAATCCAAATCATTGCTTTCTATCATTCTTGTATCATCACATGGCTTTCATACATTTTCATAACCCATCCAATCATCAGGAAGAGTTAATCACCGTGGACAGGCTGATATTTAGTTATTATTAAACACCACATCAAACTAATTTTTCTCAAAGATCTGTAACTAAGGCAATGCCCAACATTCAACTATGCCAAAGTGTCACCAACTCTCCTAAAAGTTTATGCTATTAGGTGGAGATCCATTAAGGATTTCATATCTCCAAAAACTGTACTGGTACCTCTAAGAGAAACTATTAAACTACATTGCATACACTAGAATGTCTTAAAAACGTGCATGGAAATGCCAAACTTCAAACAATCACTAGACTTGGAAAATAAACCCACCCCAGAAAAGGAGAAACGCAACAGGGAGGAGAGAATTATTCTTCCTGATTGGCATATAAAACATTACCAACTGATAAACTATAAACTTACATGCACTTTTCCCTTCAGAAATATACATAGTGATCAAAATCAAAGCTCACCTTTACTAAACAGGTTTAGAGTGCAATTTGAGGTGATTATACCCTTATCCCTTAGGATTAAAAATCTAAGAACAAACAGGATATATCTTGAATCACAAAAGATTCCAATACCTGATCCATGACCTGTTGCAGGTAGCAAAAACTACTTGCTTCAAGTGAGGTCTGGTCCGGAGCAGATCTCGTGGACGAGCTTTCCCGCACAGTTGATGAGTCTATTTCTGGTGAAAATCCTAGGCTAACTCCTTGAACTTCACTATGACCTTCATCTTCATTTTCAAACTGACGACGTACCTGCTGAGCTGAACCTGGACTGTGAAATGGCATTTGATTTGCCATATTCTCATTTTTGAAACTCCGACTTAACAGGTGTCCATCACGGCAATGATACAACTTTTCTCTCTTGTCATTTGTTTTCAAGGCAGCAGCCTCCAAAGAGTGGCCATGAGAACTCTCCATGTTTGACGCACAAGATGATTCTTTAAGAGAAGGAGACAGATGTCCATCGTGCTCGGATCTTGATGCAGACACAGTTGGAAAGAGGGAAATGTGATTTGGAGCAAGACTATAGTCTGGGTGCGTTATAGGAACTTGTGTCTGTATGCAACCTAAACAAACAGAATTTGTGTTCAGCTTGTGTTCCTGGACGCTATCAAGAGAAGTAACCCCACTTAAAGAGGCTCCAAAGGGTTGCTTCGTATCTGTATATTCCTCCGGAGGAGTATAAGGATGAATAGAATCACCATTTTTCCGCCTTCCTGCTGATTGCTTTGGCAGCTTCCTCTGCAACTGTAACACAAAAACTGTTGATGATATAGAAATTAAGAGACAATTTATTTCAGTTTACACGTTCATCTAAATAAAATAGACCAGGCATTCAGACTAGCCCACCCTTGCTATTAAACCTACATTGGAAACAATTAGTCTTGACCCCATTTTCCATCAACAAAACAAAAATAGTGAAAGATGAAAAACATAATTCACATCAAATGGTAGAGATAATTACTAGATTTCTCTTAATCCACACTGATAACTAGTTAGATTTCTGATCACAATAAAAATTTGTAGGTTATGAATATACCATAAAATCATCTTATGAAGACTATATACTAGAAAGGTTTCAATTTATATAGAATTTCAATTCCTTAAATTAAAAATTTTTAGGAGTCAACGATGATAGAATATTATTTGATTTCATAAATTATAAACCTCTTTTAAATGGGCAAATGTATGATTATATTCAGACATCAGCTGAATCCTATTCTAGAATATATGAATTCCAACATGAATATCCTTGAATGTCAAACATAATCAGATCTAGCATAGGTCATTACTTGTATTACCATATTCAATAACTCAACTCAATGGCATTAACAATCTTCACCACTTCAGAGGAATTCAGAACGCAAGTTATAAAATAGAAAAAATATAAAATAAAACGAGAGGGTAACCAACCTTTTCTTTGGGCATCAAGTGATCTGTATTACCAGATTTCATGTCTGATTCACTGAGCATTGATAATGGATCAGAGAGACCATCATCATCAACATCTATTTGAGACCTGATTTTTTTATCAACAGGAGATGCTCCTACGTTGGAATCATTGATTGGAAGACCTTCAATATTTTCCTTGGTATCCATATTATAATCTGATATACTTTTCAATGGACTCATTTCTTCACATGTAAACTGGAAGTCAGACTTCAATGCATCATCTGAACCATCAGCACCATGTGAAGTTGAGAGCCAGCAGAACTCCTCTTCATTATTGAGACTGCCCATTCCAAAAGTTAAATCACAACTTCTGCAATTTTCAGAGATATTCAGATATTTATATCATGACCACAATGAATTGATTAGCATTTCAAACAAAGGGAAAGATGAGGAAATTTCTGTCAAAAAGGAGAATTTCTTACAACATCCTGTCAACATCTTCAAAGTTTCCTATATCCAGCCACCCATCGTTATCAAGAAAACTGAGTTCATTGTCAGCTTGGGATATGTGATTGATTGGATATTCACACACACTATCATCTCCCACCACACACTTGTCTCCCAAGATAGTGTCATTGGCACAAAGCTCGCTACCACCAGCATCTATATTGCCACTCTTGAAACAATGATCGGACATGCCTGTATCATCTGATATCAGTCTTTTTGCTTCTTTGTGTGAGTCACTATCGCATGAAGGAAACCCACCTTCAGGTGAGTGAGACCATGAACCCTTTTCCAGCATTCTTTCTTTTTGGGTCAGAATTTTTTAGTATAGTTGCTCTTTAAACTGAGTTTTATAGATACTTACATAATCACTACTTCTGATACCAGATAATTCATGAAGTGATTTCTTACAGCCATCACCCCGTATTACAAATTGGTTCTTATGTTTGTCAACAGCATGGGACACTATATGATCATCATTTTCACCAAATCCATCCCACACATTATCTTCAAGCTGTAACACAGAGACAGATATTAAGTGAATTACTTCCAATAACCTGGCATCACATAAAGTAACAAATACATAAAAAAACCGCATCAAACCCAATAAATAGAGAAATAGCAAACATCAGACTTATAATTTTGTTAAAGCTCATACAAGAACAACCCCCACCACTCTGCTGGTATCAGCAAGAAAAAGGAAACAAGAAAAAACAATATAACCCAAAAGTTGTTCCATTATATACAAAAAGGCCCACTTTACCCTCCAAGAAGGGTTTTGGAATAACCTTATGGTAAAAAATCCACCCTAGAAAACATGAACCATGCCATTTCGAGATTCAAAGTGAACCTCATGGAAGCTTAACTCAGACCTGACTAGTTAACAGGGATTCTTACAAGAATCAAGAAATGTAAATATGGGCAAAAGTGGAGCTGTTGCAAGCAAATAGTAGAAGGAAAGGTATACAAATTTACGTTCCAAATTTACCCTTTAACAAGTACTGTATACTTCACATTAACAGTACAAGCTAGACCCACCACCAATCAACAACTAGCTTTTCAAGGAAAGTGTTTCTGGAGTCTAAATAATAATTTCCAAGCCTCTTCTTCATCCCAAGCTCTTTTGAACTTGGATTACACAACAGCTTACTAATAAAATTATGCGACAGAGCAAAATTATATTTGCATATAAAAGTGAAATTCAATTGGAAAGAGCATTAGTAATGCAATGATACATCAATAACATGCTAAATGATTTTAGTCAGAAGAAAAGAGTAGTTAATTTGTATCTTATCCCTTTATATCATCAAAGTAACAAGGCTACACCAGTTCTGGGTTACAGACATTTTCCCTATCTTAACGAAAGTTATGGATAAAATACATCCAAGCTTGAACTCAGGGAGAAGAATGACAACTATACGAGAGCAGAATCGATAGATAACTATATAAAAATGTCATTTCACTTCATTCTCTTATAAGGAAAGGAATTAGGGCTGGCTATATATTCTGCGTTATGCAAAGACTGGAATTTGAAATGGAGACAATTAATACAAGCCATGGTGCTGTATGGGTATAGTATGCGCAGGAATGTTATATTTCAAATACTAGAGTTGAATTTAACTACAATATTTTATACTTCATACATACAGATGTTTGACACTCCTCTGAATCTTCTATCCACCACTAAAGATACATTCAAATGATTGATTCATTCCCATGTGTCTTGAATAATATCTGTCATCAAAGATGCATCTCTATCACAGAACACACCAAACAAAAAGCATAACTTAAGTCACAAGTTTGAAAAATCCACTAGGGAAGATATCAGTTTAGACCATGAAGAAAGAAATCACATGTTAAGTTCTATGCTCATTACATTTTTCGTCAAATATTACACATATAATATGTGTGAACACTTGCAACTCATATATGATCTTAGTATAGCATCCCAGATGATAAATTAACTTTCAACATCTAATCACTAAAACACTGTCTACACCAATCAGAGCTCACATATCCAATGCTTTTCAAAATTATGAATATCAATGATCTATGATACCAACAGCAACCATCAGAGAAATCTTAATGTTAGGTTAACACAATAATTAGCATGTTGAGAGTCTTGAAAAAGCCAACTGGCACTAGTATCACTACTTAATTGGCGGCATACGAACATCAATGACCATCCGAATTACAAATACCAATCACACCGTCTACGTTGACCACAAGTATCATCTTGTCAATTTTAGAAATTTTGAATATAAAAGTAATTTGTCAAATAGTTCAGACAAATTCAATACTATATTTTCGGCCCAAGAAATAGTAAGTTAATACCACAGCTATAGTTTCAGGTACTCCGTCTCAAAATTATAAAACAGGAGCCAAATTGTTCCTGTTTCAAGTTTCAACAGCTCTACAAACTTTTTGTTTTGGAGTTAAAATAGAGCCCAGACCAAAACCTTCACCAATTATAAACCAGTTTGACAAAACAACACATTAGCTATGGAAATTTACGAAATTATCATGTGTTATGTTCAACTTTTGCGAGAAAAGAAACAAAGGTGACCATGGTAATAATTCCCCAAATCTCATTCCCTTTCTCGTGAAAGAACGCACTCATGCCAATCAATAACTGTTGTCTTCTTCTGAACTTCAAGCATGAAGCAGCGCCCTTAAATATTACAAAGTTCATGCAATTTCAACTTATTTAGTAACTCACACTACAATTTATTTAGTAAGATATACCAGAACAAAATGAGCGACACACAGAAATTTGAAGATCCAGAATACTGGAATTTCATTTTCACCATTTCCTTACTACCTAAATATTTCACCGAACGGAATTAAATAATAATAATAATAATAATAAAATTAAAATTAACAGTAATTGAACCGTGCACTCATAACTACTCGCTTGTTCCGGAAAAAAATAAAAAAAATTATAACAGTGAATCCCAAAGTAGGATATAAATCGAGTGATTTAGAAGCTCCTTTGCCTAATTCGCGTTGGTATAACTATGAATTACACTTTAGAAGAAGAAGAAACCGTGAAGCTCAGTCGAAGACCTCTTTCTTCTTCAGGCTTAGTTTTCATATTCATCAAATACAGTAACTAATAGCATGCTAAAAAAAAAGTTACGAAGATGATAAATCAGCATGAAGAGAACTAACTAACTAACAAACTATTCATGGCGGCATTCAAACTGACCTGAGAATCGAATTTTCAGTGGAAAATCACAAAGCTCGAGAATCGAGAGACGGAGTCGTTTTGGGAGCGTTGTTCAGTTCACAAATCGTGATTCCTTTCCAGACCCTTCCTTCCTATCCGATTGAATTTTCTTTTCTTTTATTTTAAAAAAAAAATTATATATATTTTTTAATTTAGGGGAAAAAAAGGGTATCACGCAAAGACCGACACGTGGCAGGGAAAGAGATATGAAATTTAGTTCGTGGATGGGAGGTGGGTGCTAAAGATCCGATCAGTTACTGCGTTTTGATTGGTCCACGACGAGTTTCGGTATTTCAACCGGAACACGTGCCCGCTGGCCACTTGGAGTAGCCTAGGCACGTGCCTGTCGTCAATATTATAGAATGTTTTTTGTTTTGTATTTAATGAATATAATAATTGCCACTTGGCTTTCCTTCACCACTTTCCAACCTTGTCCTTTTTTTCTCCACCGCAGAAATTGTTTGTCGTGTCAGTGGTATATTCATATTTCATAGTGTGGTGAAAAGTCGACTTAATAAAAAATATAAATTGCACCCACAGTCTTACAAAACTTGAGCATCTTTCATTTGAAATCTCACATATTGATTTGAGTGGAAAGTTTTGAGTTTCACGCGATCCTATCCTGAGATTTATGCGTATGAAAGATTAATTTCAATACTAAACCAAATTTGAAATATTAACTTTTCTCTTATCGAGTAAGTAAATATTCATAAAAATTAAAAAAAAAAAGGTTAGATAAAAAATTAAGTATTTAACATTTTAAAAATACATAATATTTTTTGGTAAAATATTCCAATTATGATAATTTAATAAAAAGTAGGAAATATTATTTTTAATTTCATATATACTTTGAGGGAACAAAGTTATAAAGTTCTAAAAAAAATTCAATTATGAGTAATTTAAATTATTTTACCTTAAAATTATGTATAATTGTCAATAACTTAGCATAATCTTTCAAAGCGATTATGCAACGAAATTTTTCTTAAATTTATGTTTTTTAAGCTCCTCACAAAAGTATTTAAAAGATTATCTAATTCTTAAACATCCCTAATTTGAATCAAGAAATCTAAATTAAAAGAAAACATGTATTTAAAACTAATATGTATATATATAGAAAGGAGATAATTTAAAAAAAAAATTAAAAAAAAAAGGTTGAGAACGGTATCGTCATTCATTCAAAATATTTAATGAATAGCATAATAAGTAAATTTAATAAATAAAACTAAACAAGTTTAAAAAAAATTAATTTATAAATTAAATGTGTCATACTTTTATTGAAGTCAAGAATAATGTTTTGTCGTATAAAAGATCTAGGGCCTGTTTGGTGTAACGTATAAGACCTGATAGTATAAGCTTATACTATACATTATGACATTTTCAGTTGTTTGGTGTAACTATTGTATAGTATAAGCTTATACAGCATGATCACTTAATACATCAAAATGATGTATAAGTTAATCAGGTCTGAGAGTGCCGGATTAGACCTGTTAAGAATCGATGGATTAGAGGTTAATCACTTCTCACCTTTCTCTTCCCCTTATACCCCTTTCTTCTTCATCCCCTTTCTTCCCGGTAGCCCTCACTTCTCTTCTCCCTCCGCCACCATCCGTCTGCCACGTCTGTGAGATACATTCCACGTCTGTGTGTGCGTCTGTGAAGAAGCGTGAAACACACACGGCGGCCCTGATGGCAGCGTCGTTCAGATGGATATTACAACTACACAAGGATGTTCCAAAAGCTGCTCGCTTCTATTCGAAAGGCTTAGACTTCACCACCAATTAATGTATGCACTCTCAGTTGGGCCGAACTTCAATTTGGTCCTCTTAAGCTTGCCCTCATGATTCTGTGCAGTATCTCTCTTCATTCCTCATGCCCTCCATCTGTTCGATAATATGTCCCTTCCTAACTAGATTTGATAAAACATGACCTCATTGTACGTGATACTTTTATTAAGTTCAATTTGCTCAAAAAATATACTGCGATGAAAAACCAACAGAAATATACTATCTTTTTATTCAATTGATTTATTATTTCTAATTTTATGTGATGTTAATGTTAAATTTTTATATTTTAATATCATGACTTATTTAGAAGAATTATATTAATTCTTTCTTAAAGGGTATTTTTGTCAAAAGAATTTATTTTTATCCTATCTAGTATTATACAATGCATTACCAAACACTGGATAGTATTATCTTATACAATGCATTATCTTATACAAGGTCACACCAAATGCTGGATAGTATTAAAATTTAATCAGGTCTTATACAATCAAGCCTTATACTATCAAGTCTTATACTATCAGGCATTATCCTATACTATGCACCAAACATGCCGCTAGCCTTATTGCCCTTATCGTCATAAGTAACCTTCACGTATTTTTTATTAGATCAATCACTTTCGAATTTTATTATTTCAATAGAAAATCACTATTAAATTAACCTTATCGTTAAACCATTTCATTGGAAAAAGTACCAGGGAATGTTTTTATTTTTATTTTCTAGCTCTAATTTCAAAAACATATAGTCAGAAAGATAAAATTAAGATACAAGGTATATACCGATAAAACAATTGTGACAAATGTAAATGAGAGATATCATGATATCCATGACAGATGTCTTTACTACACAAGAGATATCATGATATCCATGTTCTTTAGAATTGCGATTTAAGTGACGTTGCCCATGTGAGCGCCTTATTTTGGTGTTGTTCCCAAACCTCGTTATTTGTAAGGTATTACCTCTTTTTGCACATTATTATTATTATTATTATTATTATTTGATGATCGTAAACACTAAACATTTTGTTTGCATGTACAAGCTCGTCTCAACGCAATAATCTTCTCAATGCGGAAGTTTTACTTACATGATTTTATTATATGGAAGATCTCATCCCTTCATTTTATAGTTCAATGATCATGTACAGGTCATGTAAAGATTCTACAATGATTTTATTACATGGAAGATCTCATCCCATCACTATGTTAAAATGATTTTTAACATAGAACAACACTTCTTGCTAAGGGGAGAAAATACATCATTTCTTCGAACGCAGCCATGAGAAAATATTCTTGGAATATACGCAATCTCGTAATTTTTCTTCGCGGGACTCAATTTCTTCAACTAGGAAATTATGCAAACCGCCCTGGTTTAGAAGTAAAAGACAAACATGAGAAAAAAAAAATAATACCATGCAGATCAGAGGAATCAAAATGTTCATTGACGAATGCTAAGATGTGACTATGAAAATTATATGCACTTAAACAGCAATTGGAATGAAAATGAACAATGAGTGGTCATGTTACAAACCTCGGAAAATCGAAGAGCTGATTGAACAACATAATTTGCACATGGATCTTGAAGCAACAGTTCGAAATGGCGATCAAAGAGCAGTTCATGAATGACACTTTTTTGATTCTCAACATCGAATACAGCAAGACATTTTTCAACCACATGCCTACCGAACTTATGCAATGATAGGTTCACGTAGTAACCTTTAAATTCCGAACTTAGAGTTGCGTTGTCAGATGGATCCCTTAAGTCCAAGATGGATTGAACAACATAATTTCTGCAGAAGGCAAAAAGAATCAGGGGATCAAAGGTTGGAAAAATCAAAAGGGCAGCATAATTTTATGTCATAGTTTCATAGTATACAATATGATTCCTAAATATGACCCCAAAAAAAGTCAACGTAAAATTACCCTCCATCAAAAATGATCAACCATTGTACTAAAAAAAAATGATCAACCAAAGTTGATTTGTTAACTACAAATCCCATTCAAAGAAGAAAGCAGCAAATTAACACGTGAAGGAGGCAAATGTGTAAGCTAAAGGGAAGGGAAAGAAAGAGAGTGAGTTGGTAAAGTTAATTATATAGAGGGATGGGAAGAGAGAGGGGAGAGCAGAACAAAATTTGGGCTCTCAGTTCTGGAATTGAGAGTTTTCTTATATCTATCTTTCATTTTCTTCTACTTGTATTCCCTTTTCCCATCTGAGAAATATCTATTGTTTCTGTGGAATATCATGTGCATATATGAAAGAACCATTTCTATTTCTATCATTCTTTGTTCTGGGGAAAAAAAACGTTTTTGTAGACCAAAAAGTAGACATTTTTAAAGCAAAAAATATCAATGCAAGGTTTTATGTGCTATATATTTTAATATACTTCCAATAATTACCCAAATTGATGTTGAGCTAGCCAAAGTGCATTAGCAGATATTTTGGCAACCAGCTTTTCTCTGTGCTCCCCACTTGAATATTCAATGCATGTTTGCAGACCACGACGTCCACGTCGATGAGCTGCAATTTCAATGCAATACTTTGCAGCAGCAACAAATATAAACTGCTCAATGCAAAAAACAGGGGAAATGTAAGTTTTATGCTACATAATTTCATCAAACTCCGATCTTGAGTAAAGAAATTACATTTGTGACAAATTGACCTGCCCAAATTAATTAGCACGGCTAACAATTGAACTAAGAGGGTATTAAAAAACTTATCCATACAATTCACTCAGCGGGTTCTAAACATGCAATAGGGATGTCTACAAACTAGTCATTATCCTTAAACTAGGCAATATGCATCAAAATAGAGTCCTTTACCCTTGAACCTAGAATCTAGATTACCACAAACTAGTCATTATAAGGGAGGTAAAAAATGCTACCAAGAACTGTAAGTTAAAAGAACAGCAAGAGAGATGAACGGAAAGAGCAATTACCTCCCTGCAATTGAATTTTGTGAGAAGGATACATGCATAACCATCATATACATGTTACTATCATAAACGAAGTACAAATTGATGAAGCTATTAGTCTAGCAAATTTAAGTCAATTTGAAATGGTGATCTACAATGTGTATTATTTGATATTATGGGCTCAGACTCCTCTGTGCACAAAAGGAGAGTGTAAGCTATGCAATCATAAATAAATCATTCCATATGCTTAGATACCATGACGACTTTTCATAATATCAAGCATAAAAATTGGCAAAAGAATTTAAATATTGCTTTTTAAATAAATAATTACGCAAATGTAATCGTTTTGAAATTATTTACGCAGGTATAGCAGTCAAACACGCCTACATGAG